TCGAAAAAGAACGACGAGGCTTCAGAGTCTCCGACCTTTATGACTCCCAACTCCTTACAGAAAAATTTCTTTCCAGTTTGAAATCCGTCCATGTCAAGGATCCCAACGATGTCTGCTTTACACTGCATGTTGACTGATTGATTGTGATGTGAATTAGATTGTTTGAAACACTAATCTGCGTTCTTGCGTGCGATATAACTATCGCGTGTACAAAACGTTAATCCATGTGTTAATTTATGCATGCAGTCAACCAACGCGGTAGCTTTGGCAACAATAATTTGCTCTTAAAATCAGTGCGATTTATATAGGGACACCTCTCAAAATGTCCTGCAAGCAAGTCCCGGGCGTCCCATGCATATGAGCACATGCTCATAAGTGCTCATGAGCACATGCTCATCTGCTCATAAAACTGCAATACTGCTCAATAGCAAGGCATTTCTGCACAGTCAGTGCTAACGGAATGAGCTGCCAATTTTGCGGAAAGCAATTTAATCGTGGTTACAATCTACGAAGACACGAAAAGGAATACTGTCCCCTAGGTGCACAAGAAAGAAAAATGTCTCAAACGGACTTGGATAGCCAGGAAAGGGATTTTCAAGACGACGTTTCGATAACTTCAACTGAAGTGTCTGAAATTTCGACGATGACTGATAATGAGTCAGAAACTGAAGAGGAAATGGATCCTTGGATACCGTTAATAGAAGAAGCAAAGCAAATAAGTAATATAGCATTTGAGGAAATGAAAGAAAGCCTTATCAACAGTGGTCTAGATGAACAATCCGCTAAGGACAAAGCTTACTCTAATATTCTTCCTAAACTCCAGAAGGAACTGGAAAATATTTATATGGAGCGTCTCGTGTGGATGAAACAGCTAAAGAAAGATCCAGTTCATAAGAAGATTATGCACACAAAAAATGCACTTGTGGAAAACGATGATTTTGATCCAGAAGAAGCGTTAGAAGCAGCTGTTGATATGAGAAAGTTTCTTATAAAAAGGCTTTTAAAGGGTCACAAATTTGATGAGGAAAATGATGATGATGAAGAGAATGATGATTAGACTCGATTAATAGGATTGAAGTCATGTGTTCGAACAGTATTAGCACGTAAAAACATACCAGTATAGACCCAGCATGTAAATTGTGAGTCATTCAATAAATTGCTTTTTAATTACTTGTCTTTTCTTGTCATTTTTACATGGGTCAGGCGGGTACAAATCAAAATGGCAAAAACATGCGAATACGAAAATGTATACATTTGTGTACATAAACTTTGCAGTGGCTTCCACGAAAAATGTACACCCAGTCTTCGGGCCTAAACGGGTCTTATGAGCAGATGAGCATGTGCTCATGAGCAGTTATGAGCAGGTGCTCACACGTTTATGCAGGATGAGCATATGAGCATGTGCTCATGAGCAACTATGAGCATGTGCTCATACGCTCATCGCATAAGATTGTATACCCGACATGATTTTGAAAATCTAACAGCGCAAGATGCCTTTGCGTCACTCGGATAAATACGTCTTTCTTCACTTGATAGATGGTGAATGTCTGCCAAATGATTTGATAATTTGCAAAGGTTTTTCTTTCCGCACAGCAGACAGTCTTTACGCGTTCGCGGCATCGAGCGAAATTATTCCTTTTATCAAACGGGACACAGGGACATTGCTACTGGACGCCCGGGACTTGCTTGCGGGACACTTTGAGTGTGTCCCTATATGCGGGACGCAGGGACATTGCTACGGGACGCCCGGGACTTGCTTGCGGGACACTTTGAGTGTGTCCCTATATGCGGGACGCACGGGACGTCCTTACGGGACGCATTTTAACGTGTCCCTGCGTCCCGTAAGTAAGTCCCTATATGCGGGACGCACGGGACGTCCTTACGGGACGCATTTTAACGTGTCCTTGCGTCCCGTAAAACGTTTCTTATGGCTAGACCCTTATAGGTTACATAATTCATTATTATTCCCAGTTTGACATAAGTAGCGTAAGGATTAAACTATAGATTGGTATTACTGAATACGTCACTAACATACTGTAATTATTTAAATCAGTGTGAACATACAGTTGCAAACGGAAATGCATCAAATATATTCTGAGTTCGAAAGAACTGTTCCTCTAAACAATCTCATGGACTACATTAGCTGTGTTTGTAAATTAAAATACAATTCAATCATATAATGTGTTTAAGAAATATATCATTTTAAAACGAATTGTGTTGTTGGCTTTTTCTTTATTCCATGCTGTTACTTGCAGTATTAGTATCTATTTTAACCATAGGCACTTGCTATAGTAGGACTGATGATAAAGTCAAGAGAAACAAGGATCATAATAGACAGAAAATGTTCAGATTTGGCATTAGCTTTGGTCGTAATGATTTAAATCTGGAGGGCCATTTTCAAATGGGGTACAATAGCAAGACAATTAAGAATTATGGACCCATTGAAAAGCGGTTGGTCCTCCCAGAAAATTTACCTTCAACAATAACAGAATCAAAAGAGCAGACAGTGCTGACTTCAAGGTAGGATACTGCAGCAACTGATGCGTAGTGTTATAATGAAAAGACATCCTGTAACTGGTAAATAGACTAATATGTTCATGGCCTTTGGTTTCGTTTTAAGTGATGTAAACCATTTGACAGCTTCGATCACTTTAAATACATTTTCGTTTGCAAATGATTTAAATAATTTCAGTATGTTAGTGACGTATTCAGTGATACCAATCTATAGTTTAATCCTTACGTTACTTATGTCAAACTGGGAATAATAATGAATTATGTAACCTATATGGGTCTAACCATAAGAACAGTCTTACGGGACGTCTATATAGGGACACCTCTCAAAGTGTCGCGCAAGCAAGTCCCGGGCGTCCCGTATAGCAATGTCCTTGCGTCCCGCATATAGGGACACTCTCAAGTGTCCCGCAAGCAAGTCCCGGGCGTCGCGTAGCAATGTCCCTGCTGTGCGGAAAGAAAAAACCTTTGCAAATTATCAAATCATTTGGCAGACATTCACCATCTATCAAGTGAAGAAAGACGTATTTATCGGAGTGACGCAAAGGCATCTTGCGCTGTTAGAAATTTTCAAAATCATGTCGGGTATACAATCTTATGCGATGAGCGTATGAGCACATGCTCATAGTTGCTCATGAGCACATGCTCATATGCTCATCCTGCATGAACGTGTGAGCACCTGCTCATAACTGCTCATGAGCACATGCTCATCTGCTCATAAGACCCGTTTAGGCCCGAAGACTGGGTGTACATTTTTCGTGGAAGCCGCTGCAAAGTTTATGTACACAAATGTATACATTTTCGTATTCGCATGTTTTTGCCATTTTGATTTGTACCCGGTCGACTCATGTAAATATGACAAGAAAAGACAAGTAATTAAAAAGCAATTGATTGAATGACTCGACGTTACATGCTGTGTCTATACTGGTATGTTTTTTACATGCTAATATTACTGTTCGATCGTATACTCGAATCTAATCATCATCATCATTCTCCTCATCAAATTTGTAACCCTTTAAAAGCCTTTGTATAAGAAACTTTCTCATATCAACAGCTGCTTCTAACGCTTCTTCTGGACCAAAATCATCGTTTTCCACAAGTGCATCTTTTGTGTGCATAATCTTCTTATGAACTGAATCTTTCTTTAGTTGTTTCATCCACAAGAGACGCTCCATATAAATATTTTCCAGTTCCTTCTGGAGTTTAAGCAGAATATTAGAGTAAGCTTTGTCCTTAGCGGATTGTTCATCTAGACCACTGTTGATAAGGCTTTCATTCATTTCCTCAAATGCTATATTACTTCTTTGCTTTGCTTCTTCTATCAACGGTATCCAAGGATCCATTTCCTCTTCAGTTTCTGACTCATTATCAGTCATCGTCGAAATTTCAGACACTTCAGTTGAAGTTGTCGAAACGTCGTCTTGAAAATCCCTTTCCTGGCTATCCAAATCCGTTTGAGACATGTTTCTTGCCTGTGCACCTAGGGGACAGTATTCCTTTTCGTGTCTTCGTAGATTGTAACCACGATTAAATTGTTTTCCGCAAAATTGGCAGCTCATTCCTTTAGCACTGCCTGTGCAGAAATGTCTTGCTATCGAGCAGTATTGTAGTTTTATGAGCAGATGAGCATGTGCTCGTGAGCAGTTATGAGCATGTGCTCATACGCACGGGACGCAGGGACGTTTCTACGGGACGCCTGGGACTTGCTTGCGGGACACTTTGAGAAGTGTCCCTCAATATAAATCGCACTGATTTTAAGAGCAAAATATTATTGCTAAAGCTACCGCGTTGGTTGACTGCATGCAGAAATTAACACATGGATTAACGTTTTGTACACGCGATACAAGAAACGGCGGCATAGCCATAGTAGCCTGAAATAAAGTAAAACTGTAGACAAACTAATAAAACTAAAAAAATTGTAGACAAACAAACGACAGCGAAGCAGCCAGAAATATAAAACTGCAGATAAACAAACGGCGATACAGTATAAGCCTGAAATATAAAACTAAAAACTGTAGATAAACAAACGGCGACACATATACAGGTTGTATCTTAGTTCAATTATTGTAAATATACAGGTTGTATCTTAGTATAGATATTAAGGTTGTATCTTAGTATAGTTATTTAATTTAATAATTTCGTCACCTTTATATAGATATATACAAAAAATGTATACTAGCAAACAAGCAACACTAACACAACATTCTTACAAGATAACACACTAAACATAGACGTGACTGGAGAAAAGAACAGGACTTGCGTCCCAATTGACACTTTACCCCTATCAATACTATAGTATATGATTAAACAAAGAACTATATTATATAACATTAAATTTACTTAGATGCAGCCAGGAGGACTATATGATGGTAATTTATGAAATAAAATTTGATGTTTCCATTATTATTATTATAATATTATCGGTCTGTTGTACGGGTAAGACCTATCTTTGGGCGAGCGATTTTTTACGTATATGTAGCAATATAAAAATGCCTCCAAAGAGAAAGACAAAGCCCTCAAGAATAAAATGGACGGAGTCGATGATAAACGATCTTTTCGAATGTCGTACAAGAGCTGTGGAGACAAGCAGACTTAACGACACGTCCAATGCAGAGCGATACGGATATATGAAGATTATGAAACAACTATGGGACGAGAAAGGGTACTCCTCGCTTTGTCTTACGGGTCAGAATTTGTGAGATACGGTAGCTCGTTATGAGAAGAAACAACGATCTGGTGATGCTAGCAGAACTGATGTGAATAATGAGTTAAACCAACAACAAATCGATGTTGCTCAAGAAAATACTGGAAGTTTACACCCAGTTGTTGTTGACGAAATATGTAACACAGCAGAAATTTGCATTGAAAGAAGCCAAATAGATCAGTCGGAAATTCCCAACAGAATATACAACACTATAGAAATCAAAGAAGCCATACATATCAGTGAAAATAATGACATGGCACATAACGATGGAACTAATTATGTGCGTGAGGATGAGCAGATTTTCATGTGGAACGAAATAAATGGTACCGACTTTTGCGATATGATAAATGATGCATACGAAAAAATTGTTCCTTGGAAACGTAATGTCTTTCTAGTGCCATCAGGCAGAGTTGGAAAGTCGTTTATACAAGAATTGGCAAGAATTTATCAAGCCTTTGCTGATACTAGCCCACTCGAATGTATTGCTTTGAAAGCGTGCTCAGTCATGCAATCGTTATTACTACAAAAGCCTTTTGTTAAAAGTAAGGCAAAAGATCATGTCAACTATTTAGAAAGACGGTTGAAACAATGGCTAAAAGGAGATATAAAAGCACTTGTTAATGAAGGGAAATGTATTCAAAGGCATTTAATTTCTCAAACAAATATTCCGTTTGAATATGAGAAGTTACGCGTGGGTTTAGTCGTCTTATGTTGCAAGGGAAGGTTCATCAAGCCGTCCGTTTGATTTCTATCGCTGACAAACGTGGCCTTCTTTCACTTGATGCTTTAATACCTGATGTAGATAGCAATGGCAATGCTATCTGGAAAACTACGAGAGAGATATTGCTGGAGAAACATCCCGAAGGAAAAACACCGTTACGACAGAAACGCTTCTATCGGATACCGAGTTTGAGTAAACATGTTTTGATCCCATCATGTTTGAACGATTAACTGGTGAAAGCATCAAGCAAGCAGCAATGAGGACCAACGGCGCTGCTGTCTTCGCAATCTGATTCGTACAGAAAACCAGATCTGTGTGAAATCAAAGCGAAGCTACGTCAACAGAAAGCAAATCATCATGCGAGCAAGGCCGAGCAATTATTAGAGAAAGTTTACCTGCTACAAAACAACGGACAATGGATTTGTTAAACGAAAAAAGCGCTTCATCTTGGCTTACCGTTCTCCCTTTAAAAGAACATGGTTTTAATTTGAACAAAAGTGAATTTCGGGACGCTTTATGCCTAAGATATAATTCAGGGGCGGATTCAGACAGGTTTGACAGGTTTATATAAACCTGTCAGATTTTCCAAAGAAAGAAAATCTATAACCTTCCATGTACATATATAACTAATTTAAAGAATATTCTGTTTCATAAACTTGATGTTGTCTAATCTATTACGCCATTTAAATACTCTTATTGAAATTTGATTCTGGATTACCGAGCGTATTTAGACCCACTTACATAATAAGCATTTAATTAATTAAGGACTTATCGCGTTGGTTTCCTCTTACGAAATGTTGTAATACTAGACAAATAATCTGCTAATGTATCGTCGTGGGTCGTGGACTGAAACATCGCATGAATCACACATAACCGCCCGCAATTATGAGTAAACCGGTGGTCAGAGTTTTCTCAATGAGAGTAAACCGGTCGATACGCCATTCGATTGGCTAAACGGCTGCGCTCCGACGGATGTAAACCGGTCATAAACCTGTGAGTCGAGCAGTATTTAGAGAAAACTGGGAATGAAAGTTAACAGAACTCGAGGACGCGCGAAATATGTTTATAATTTTGCGTGACTGAAAATTGCGTTGGCGATAGAAGCATTTACATGGATTTCTTGTTCATTTTGAAGGTTTGTTTAAAAGTATATAATCTAAAGTTATAACTGTAAGCTATTTCTTCTTACTGTATAATAAATATCGATCCGTCAACAAGCGTATCGATGTTTATACGTGTAACTTCTACACAGTCTACACTCATGATAGCGCGAAATATGTGTATAATTCTTATAATATTGCGTGACCGAATCATTGCGTTCGTGACAGAGAATCAGGAAATAATTGTAAAGCTTTCACGCTCTTGCAGTTTGGTTTCTATTTCATTGTTAAAGCGGTTGGTTTGAAAGCGTATAGATCTAAAATTACAACTATGTTTATATTAAAAGCATCTCTACTTGTTGTACTTATAATAGATATCGATGCGTCAGCAATTTGCCAATCCTATATTTCTATCACCAGCTAATAAGTTTCCGAAAACGTTCAATTGATTGTTTGAGCTGCGTATATTAGTCCAAAATTCTCTTAAAAACATGTATTTTCTAACCATTAAATTAATTTAAAAGGTGACGCCAGAACGCAGGAAATGCTGTTTCAGAGGCCCGAATTTTAAAAATTTCCCGGGGGTGCATGCGCCCGGACCCCCTAGTGGTTGTGTGGACCTAGTAAACCTGTCATCCAAAACGCTGGATCCGCCCCTGATAATTGGCAGTTGAAAAATGTTGCGCAACATTGTGTGTGTGGAATAAATCTCTCAACAGATCATGCCATGATCTGTCCACATGGTGGTATGACAATTATTCGTCACAATGAGATTCGGGATATTACTGCCGATTGGTTGAGCGAGGTGTGCAGTGAAACCGAGAAAGAACCGCAACTACAGCCTATTACCGGAGAAAGTATATTTCCTAAGTCAGCAAATAAGAAAGAAGAAGCAAGATCAGACATTAAGGCAAAAGGCTTCTGGTGTCGACAACAAAGTGCATTTTTTGATGTAAGGGTGTTACATCCCAACGCACCAAGCTATCGTAACTCCAGCATTCCCTCCTTGTACAGAAATCAAGAACAGATGAAGAAGAGAGAATATGGTGACAGAATAAGAGAAATCGAGCATGGTTCCTTTACCCCTCTAATCTTTTCAACCAGTGGTGGTCTTGGTAAAGAATCAACAGTCGCGTATAAGAGAATTGCTGAATTATTAGCGATTAAACGGAAGTCAGAATATGGTGCTACTCTAGCATGGATGAGGTGTTGCCTCTCTTTCGCCCTTTTGAGATCGGCGATCGCCTGTATCCGAGGTTCAAGAAAATCTGCATATCAGATAAAAAGTAAGGACATAGAACTAGGCTTTTCGGAAAGCCAGTTATGCGATAATTGACGTTAGAACTGATACTAAATTAGGCATGGTGATTTTTAATAAAAAGAACAAACATTACTTAATATTATAATTGACAAGTTTTTTTCAAGAACAGCTAGTTTAATTATTTTATCATATAACATTTAAAAAAATATTATTATTATTATTATTATTATTATTATTATCATCAAGTCTCCGTAATGCAATGTTCTCTTACCTACTCGCCAATAACTTTATCGAGCACGAAATTCAAAAGGGCTTCACCCCTCATATATCGGGGACATTTGAACATACAGCACAAATGGCTTATATAATCAATCAAGCACGAATAAGACAGCAATCTCTCGTTATAACCCTTCTTGATCTCAAGAATGCGTTTGGTGAAGTACATCACAATTTAATCCAATCTGTTCTTGGCTATCATCACATACCTCAACATATTCAACTCATGATTAAAAGCCTTTACACAAACTTTAAAACATCAATCATCACATCTGATTTTAACACGCCATTTGTAGAAGTAGGTCGTGGAGTTTGGCAGGGAGATTGCCTCAGTCCATTACTATTTAACCTATGCTTTAATACTTTTATCCATGCAGCACATAAAATCGGAGAAATATCAACAGTTTGGTTTTTCTTATAAACTTCTCAACCCAATTCATTGGTTCCAGTTCGCTGACGACGCAGCCGTAATAACCGGCCAAGAATCTGAAAATCAACACCTGCTAAACCGTTTTGCAATTTGGTGTCAATGGTCAAACATGATTATTCGAGTAGATAAATGTAGCACCTTTGGCATCAAAAAAGCTCTCACCAAATAAATTCAATACCTCCCTAAGTTAATCATTAACAAATCTATTATTCCAGCTGTTGAAAGTGGAAAATCATTCTGCTATTTAGGAAGGTACTTTGATTACGAAATGACAAACAATGAACATAAATCAGAATTAGTCTCCCTATTGGCAGACCTAATGAAAGAAATAGATCTGAAGCCATTACATCCGAAAAACAAGATTCTCCTCTACAGTCGCTACGTTCTTTCAAAACTCTCATGGCATTTTACTATAGCTCAATTAAAAAAACATGGATTTCGGAAAACCTGGACTCAGTTTTCAAACAATACATTCGTAAATGGCTCGAGGTACCTATTTCTGGATCACTTAGTAACATTTACCTAACCAGTAACAAATTTGTTCTGACCATTATCCCCCCATCAACTAAATTCATACAATGTCAAACAACTATCCGCAGTGCTTTGAAGTCATCTCCTAATGAATCAATAACCCACCTCTGGAAATCGACCTGTAATCATACTAACACCCAATATGATCAGTATACGTCAACAAAAGAAGTAATCAAGTCATTCCGTGAAATTCATGAAGATAAATTGGAAAATGGGTTAAAATGTCAAGGTTCATTCTTCTCTAGCATCTCAAAATTTTCACTACCCCAAGTAAATTCGATTTGGCCAACCTGTCAATCCAAACTACCAAAAAACATTTTCAACTTCACTATTCGCTACATAAACAATTCGCTACCAACCCGTAAAAACCTTCAAAAATGGGGACTCTCTTCGTCCTCTGAGTGCTCGTTTTGCCTTAAACCTGAATCTCTGTTACACGTTGTTGCTGGCTGTAGTTCCTATCTTGATCGATTTACTTGGAG